GGTCTCGGAATCCGTACCGAGTAAATCAAAAGACACAAATCCATAAATAGGAGTTTGTTAAGAACTCAGGATTAAGATCATTCTATATATGACCATCGGTAGACTCAATTAGAATTTCTATGCTTAACGGAAATTATTAAAAATTCATATTGTGTCTGTGTCCCTGTTCCACACAATCTCATTATGCGAAATACACTCATTCAATATCTCACCATATTAACAGTGCGGATAGCACCGTTCCATTCTAAATGAGAATGACATGCATTAATAATGTTTTAATTAAAGATTCCGAACTTTAATTAAATTCATTATGAACAACGTTTATTATTATTATTCTTAAACATTATCCTCTCGTATATAACACTTATATACAATGTTTAAGGTCACATAAATAATCACAGAATTTTCATTTGATATTCATAAAATATTCATAAATATATGCACACAAAATGATGAATAAACTCTTTTATTAATTAAATAATAAATATCTTATTACATCTTATGCTTTTAGGATACTATTCCCAATATTCTTTTCGTTAGTTTTGATTATGATATAATCTTACAGTCAAAGAAAGGCAGCAGTATAATTCATATCATACAGTTAACCTTAAACAAAATTCTTCCGGGAAAAATTATCCTATCAGACAATGCAAATAACCCTATCAAGATAAAAAAACATTTAAAAAAAAATAACGGTATTTTCTCTAACACTTACATGCTCACGTTATTTTCTTTGTGCTCTTGAAACCTAAATTATAACATTTCTTAGAAAATTTCAGTTACTAATAATAATAGATTATTAACTACCATTGCCGATTCAAACAAAAGAATTGTGCAAAAGAGGGTTCAACAAGTGTTTTCGCAGACCAATAGCGCTTTTGAATATAAGATGAGGAAAACAATACTAATAAATTCCAACAATTTTAGTCACGTTTATTTTTTTAATCAAAAGAGCTAGTCTTGATGCAGAATAAAAGAAATGAAAAAAAAAATATTATTTATACTTATTTGATGGGTCCATGTGAATGGTCAGGTCACGTGGTGTGTTGTGTATGTGCCTAAAAATAACGTTTTTTTTTCTTTTTGATAAATTTGCCTTAATAGCTTTAAATTTTACCCGGTAAATAGAAATGTCTTCTTTTTTTTTTTTTTTTTTTTTTTTTTAGGGAATGTAAATGTCCATTTTGGAACCCAACGAGTTGTTCTAAAAACTAAAATCCCTTTTTTCTTTAAAAAAAAAAAAGCCGAAATGTAAAAAAAAACAAAAAGCACCAATTCAAGACATTTCTAGAATTGAAATGGGAAACAACTTAAATGGCATATTCGCAAATTTGTCAATAAATAAGGCAATTTTGACTTTAAGCATGCGATAAAATAGAGAATTTAAAGAGTTTATTCAAAAACAAAACAAAACCAATACGCGTTGGCTTGGGCCCTAAATCTCTCCACCCCTCATACAAAAGCTCTGGAAGATACCTCCAATCTTCTATCTCATACAAACTCAATTTTATTCCAATATACCCCCACCGCTTCTCTCATATTTACAGTCTAGTACCTAAACCCCACACATTTTCTATAAAACCCTCTCTGTTTCTCTGCTCACCAAACCCTCATTCCTTTCCCATTTTCCCCTTTCTCTTCTTCTCAGTAAATCTGATTCTCTCCGGCGATGGTGGAAATCCCCGGCGGCGTCTCCTTCCCGGTGGTCTTCTTCGACGGCGAGCACGAGACCGAAATCGGCAGCGTAGCCGTCTACGCCGCCATGGAATTCAAGCGCTTCCAGGCGCTCCTCAGCCAGAAGATTGGAATCTCTCCGCACCAATTCTCCGTCCACCTCTCCTCACCGGAGTCCCGCCGCAAGATCCCGATCACCGGCAAGGTCAACTTCGGCGCGATCTGCCGCGAGAAGGGATGCTTCTTCGTCGTCGTGCTGAAGCGGTCGCGGCGCCCGAGGCGGCGGAAGAGCCACCACCACCACCACCAAGATTACCTTGATGACGTCATACTCTACCTCGATGCCGATCATTCCCTGATGATCAGCAAGAATCCCCCGCCGAACGTCATGCTTCTGAGGCGCGACGCCGCGGTCGACTGCTGTGTGTCGTCGTCCTCCGATCGGGTCGAGTACGAGAATCGGGTCTTGAATTTGCAGCTCGAAAAGGAGACGTATCTGATGAATATGGGCTTGAGTGGGCTAGGCCGGGAAGCCAACGAGACCGCCGCGCCTGTGTGCGGGGATTGCGTGAAGGCCAAAGAATTGGGCCAGGAAGCTGGGTTCCATTGGTGCGTTTACGACGCGGTGACGTTCGGCTTCAGGCCGCCGGCGGGCCCGATTGCCCGACCCTTCAGAAGACCCGAATAACTCGGGTTGGGCCGGTTTGGCGTCTGTTTTTTTGTTCACACCTGTATAAAATGGAAGGCTCTGGAAGCAGCAACGGAAGGAGAAGATAATCTGATTTAGCGTGGTGTACGGTAATGAGCGTATACCATTCCAAAAATTAATAAGTTAGGATATATTATTACAAGTACGGCACAATATTAGTGTATAATTTGATTTTGTCCCTACAAAGGAAGGGCAAATCAATGGATGGTTCGTGGTTTTTTTTTTGTTTGATTGACAGAGTAAAACTGTAGCGTGCAAATATCGACACTGTTTTTTATTTTATTTTATTTTATTTTCTAATATTATATGGTTAGGGAAATTTGGGCCCGTATGGCTAGGGTCGTTTCCCACCACATTTGAAGTTTTCTAATTTGATTTTTGAGTTGGGAAAAAGTGAAAATTGGAATAAGAGTATTTTGGGGCCCCTTTGAATATTGGGCATTTTGAGATTTTCTCATGATGTTGTGACTTGTGAGAGGCTTTTCAAGATGAAATTTATAAAGATAGAATTTGCTTTTTTATTTTTTGTTTTTTTTTTCTTTTACTCTTGTTGCTTTTGTGGGTGCAACATGATTTGACACTGTATTTTCGTGG